CTTCATTCTGATCCCAGCACCAACCACTTATACGTTTTGATTTGCAACTTATAACTGAGAATCCTCACAAGTGTTTTCCCTCTCTCTGGTAGTGTCGGAGCCCCCCAGCACGCTGCACCGACCCCAGCCTCTGCCCCCCTCCTCGGGTCACCAGGGGTCAGGGGTCGGAGGTCAGGTTGAAGGAGGCTCTCCGTACTGCCTGGCCTCCGGACGACACTCCTTCTCCGGGTACTCGGACGGCTTCGTGAGCGCAGGAGGACCGGCCAACAGCATGAACCCCTCCTTAGGAAACGGACTCTCTCCACAGGTGAGACTGCAGCCAGAGAAACATGTGATTTTAGGTTTTATAGGAGACTCAGGATGAGGTTTGCGAGAACATACAAAATAGAAAATATAGAATGGAAAATGTACTTTAAATAGAAGAATCAGAATCAGGTTAATAGCCAAGTGTTTTTAGACATTCAAGACATTTGTTTTGGTGTATTATAGTGCATACATAAAAAATATATGTTAAGAATATGACAATTTACTCTGAAAAACAAAATATGATTTGATTGGAATATATGAAGATGATAATGAAGAAAATACAAAATAATTCTACAACAATAGGACAGTGTATTACAGGATGTGGTGGATTCAATAGATGAAGATAATTGACCTTAACTATCTAAATATTTACGTTTGCAGAACATTTATTTGACAAGAATAAGACTTGTGTGTTTGACGCTGTACTTGCCTTTAGAGATGAATTTCAGATAGTTGAAAGTATTTGAGGTATGTATAATTTCCCTTTAGACGCCCAGCTTCACACACGACATCGGGAGCTTTAAAAAGTCATATTTCATACAATGACATAAATCCACCCAAACATGTACTCTCAGTGTTTGAGGAGGAAAGTAAGATGACTCTACAAGGACAGAGGACAATTGAGTGTGTGACAAATGGAAAGTGAAAAGAGAATTACAGCCAATTATCTGGCGTGAAGTCTTAAAGTCTTTGCACCTAGAATATAGGTTAGGACAGAGGAGACAGAGGTGAGGACAGAGGAGACAGAGGTGAGGACAGAGGAAACAGAGGAAACAGAGGTTAAGACAGATGAGACAGAGGTTAGGACAGAGGAGATAGAGGTTAGGACAGAGGAGATCGAGGTTAGGACAGAGGAGACAGATGTTTAGGACAGAGGATACAGAGATTAAGACAGAGGAGACAGAGGTTTAGGACAGAGGAGACAGAGGAGACAGAGGTTAGGACACAGGAGACACTAACAGGCAGAAAATGAGATTTCAGCCTGGCACAGCCTGACTCCTCAGAGATCAGCAGCAGTGTGAATACCGACACACACACATGCTCACATAATTACACACACACACACACGCACACACACACACACACACACACACACGCACACGCACACGCACACACACACACACACACACACACACACACACACACACACACACACACACACACACACACACACACACACACACACACACACAGAGTGGAGATAATTGATCCACTGCATGACAATTTGAGGATCAGCTGAGGATTTTGTCACATCTTTTACACGTCATGGTTGAGCAGCGTGGCTAAGCTTCAACCTTCTGTGCAGATTAGAAGATTGGTTGCTGTACTTTTATTATGATATCAAACACAGAAGTAGAACAGAGATGAAGGAGCAATTTTATATACGGTTTTTATGACTTTTTGGCCTTTTTTGTTGTATGAGTATATCCCACAAAATCTATTTACATGATACCTAATTGTAAACAAGAAAACGAAATGTGTATTGTATTTCTTAGTCACGTATACGTTTCTGTAGACATTTGAACTGAAGTGAAGTTGCCTGTTAAGATTTCAAAAAGACTGTATGGGTTTATGACGCAGAAATGTACGTGTTGCTACACAAAAATAGAGGACATTTTGTTTTCTAAGATATAATACAAACCTTTTTATGAGGATTTATTGCTTTTGCAAAAGGATTTTTTTCCCAAATTGGGAAATTGCTTTTTTGACAGCAGCATGTTTACAAGGCATTGCACATTAGTTAAACATAAAATGAAATAAACAATACAACTGAACATGAACAGTAGATACAGTATAGCAACAGTGGAAAGATATGTATGTCTTGAGTATCTACATAAGACATAATATAACATTTGGCGATTCTGTCCTCATGCTTTTACACACTGAACATAAATGTCTTGTATTGAGGCATTCATGGTCATGTGTGTGTGTGTGTGTGTGTGTGTGTGTGTGTGTGTGTGTGTGTGTGTGTGTGTGTGTGTGTGTACAAACACTGTTACACACTCCACGCTCTGCTATATCCTCGAGGGAAGCCTCTCGTGATTGCATTCTTAAAATGTTTGCCTCGACATTCTTCCACGTGAAAGCATAGGTTCTAATTTATTTGTATATATTTCGTACAGCCGGGCAGGAATGTCCCGTCTCAGATGTTTTACCCCCCATCCCGACATTCTTCCTGCTAACTCCTGGACGCACTGATTCAGGCCGCTGGCAACTGCAGGTTTCCAATATGAAACCATGAGGATGATGGGTAGAAAGTTTGGTTAAATAAATGTGCATAACGTCTGCATGAGGCTCGTTTAATCCGAGACCTTTCCTCACTCTCTTTCTGTTTAAAACAACTCCAAACGCAGGTTAATTTTTAAGGAAAATGTTACCGGGCATGAGAGGAAACACAACTCCCCTTTCCAAATCAACATGGTCTCCTCCACTCACCTCCCCTGCTTGGGAAATGATTTAAGCAGGACCATGTGTGTGTGTGGATGTATAATAATATGTCACTTAGAGGGAAAGAGGACCCAAAGAGCAAGCGTACCTGCTTCTTATTAAGCGCGACTGCAGGAGCCTGGAGGCCTTTCGCTCTGCAGAGCAGGAGGTGGGATATGATACATTTAGAGGTAGCAGATTCACTTAGAGCTACTTTCATAAGTGATAAAGACAGTCTGGATGTCTTATTAACGGTTTACTGAGCTCTTTGATGACGGACAGGTAAAGTGAGCGAGTGTCGAGGAGGGGGTCGGTGGTCTCACGTCTGTTTTGAGACCAGTTGAAACGCTTTGCCCACGGCGCTTTTCCGTCCTTTGCTAGCCAAGGAGTATTCCCCCCCAAATTTGATTATCTGGTTGCTAATAAAGACCAGGTCAAGAGCTAACGGATTTCTCAAACTGCAAATCTATTCAACAGAGCCGCGCTCAAAGACATTTCTTTTGTGTTATCTTTGACGGCGTATCTTTCCCCGAGATAAGTTGTTATCTTGCGCCACGGGTTTTTTGGAGCAGTGTCAAAAAGGAATTTTGGAATAAGTGGAGCCGTGGATCTGAGACAAATTGCTTAATTCTTCCTTTCTGCTGCTATCTCAGTCTGCGCCGGCTTTTCCTTTTGATGTTCCTCGACAGGGGGATTTCCTATGTGTGTTTTAGCGTGTGTGTGTGTGTGTGTGTCTCGGTGTGTGTGTTGATACGTATTACACACAGTCCTGTGCTTGTTTCCAAAAAAGTTATATTAGGGCCTTCTCAGAAACTAAAAACAAAGAAAACTTCTATTCCTCATGATGCACCACTGTTCTTGTCTGTAAAAACGAAATCACATTTTTTAACATCTAGGGTTAGGGTTAGGCTTAGGGCCAATCACTGTAATAAAAATAAATCCCCATTGAAGTGAGAACAATTCAGCCTGTTTTCCATACTTCCAGTAATGATGTCTACGTGAGCAAACACATACTTTGTGTTCTGCTTATTTTAAACACAAGTTAAAGTGGCAACAATCTGCTTTTCAAGTTTGCCTGTCAAGCATTTCCAATTGGTGTTATTTATTGTTGGTGCGGCGGTCACAAAGGCAACCAGATCTCATCAGTTTTTTCTCAAAGCGACCAACACGGTGCATTTATTTAATAATTTCTGTCCGATTTGTCCACATCATATATAATCATCATCATGATTAAATAGCAGCCTGGCTAACGTTACTGTCTCAAGCCAGAAATTAAGATTCCCAATTTAATCTACAAAACCCTGATGTCAGCGTCATGATTAATGCATCGTCAAATCTGGTAGTATTAATAATTAACGTAGGCTTTGTTACTTTCTGATCTAGCTTAGTATACATATTGTTTTCATTGTTTTGTTGTTCCTCCTGTAGGAGATTATGTTGAGTCGCCTCTCAGCGAAATGCTCTCTCGTAGGCAGGGATGCAGTGTTAATGAGAGTTTTATTGTGAAAGGGAGATTACGAGGTACACTGTAAACTCAATATATATTACCAGAACTCAGAAATTGAGGCAACTGATTAATCTATAAATTGATGAACTTAAAAATCAAATGTTTTCAGAGCTTAAATGTTTTGATTACATACAGCATAACAAAACAATAAAAACAAGTTGAATTAAATATTTTAAGTGGTGTTTACTTAATACTCAAAATAGTCTAAGTTGATCAGAAAATTATCAGTAAAATGAACTCCAGAACAACATTTTTTTCCCAGGATATTGACCTTTTCTTAAGTTTAAACTTCGGTTGTTTTCCCTTTCACAATAAAATCCCTAGATTTAAACACGTCACCACACTGCATATTAGAGAGGAAACTCAACAAAACAGCTTACAACTCCAAAAAATAAACTACAGAAGCTATCCGAATGTTGTGGTATTATTATTATTATAAATTAATTCATAATCATATGAACCAAAATCTGGTTTATTGCCACTTTAAGTGTACAGCAACAATCCTACATGTCTCACTAACATCAGAGCCTCTCACACTGCTCTGGCATAAATAAACCTTTAAACTAATTTAACCCTCAACTTTTTTCTCTTTTCCACCAGGTGATGGGTCTTTTGAACCCAGGAGGAGTGCCTCATCAGCCCCAGAGCGACTACGCCATCTCCCCTCTGACGGGAGGCCTGGAGCCCGGCATGTCGGCCAGCTGCAGTCAGCGCATGGATCACATTAAGGGTCTGGAGGGTCTCACCAGCGTTCCCAACATGGCGGCGCTGCCCTCGCTGCCCAGCTCCCAGTCCTACTGCCCTGCCTCCTACAGCTCCCCGGGGTACACCGTGGACCACATGGCGTCATACCAGTACGGCCAGTACGGACAAAGTAAGGTCAATAGACTGCTCACTTTTTATTTCCGCATCAATCAGAATCAGAATCAGAATACCTTTATTCGTCCCACAGAGGGGACATTTACATTTGTTACAGCAGAAAAGAGCCAGCTTAATGTTAACTAAGAAGCATGCATAAAATCACAATACACACACAATCAACATACGATACGATACAATACGATACTAGATACCATATCCAATGATAATACTCTTCACTCATCAAAAACTACCAAAAGGTTTAACAGATAATTGATGCAAAAATAGCAAAGACGTGCACAACAAAAGGAATAAAAGCAATTTAATTTTAAGTTTTGATAGTTAAAAATTTGGTTAGAAACACACAAAAAGTGTGGGAAGTGGGGAACAGAAGAAAAACAAACATAGCTTGATTTACAAGTTGTATGATGCTCATTACACGGCCATAGCTGAATCATTTAATGAACAAGTTGCGGACAATGCACAAGCTAACAAGTCCTATCTTCCAAAATGAAAATAAAAAGATTTGAGATATTTCAATTTTTTTTGTTAAAAAGTTTTTGTGGCCTTTCACTTATTTTCAGTTTTAAGAATTCAACGAAAGGAAATCATACCCAAACAGAGGACACAGTTTAATTCATGAACATCGGACTATTTATCCTAGGGATGTCAAAAAAGCCTACAACACAACCCTGGTTTCTGCAGGGTAGCGATAATTCGGCTAGCTTTTTCTGGATTCTCATCATGCGGTCTCGAGTGTTGGGGTAAATTGTGCAGATCTGATTCCATCGAGCACAGCCTTCTGATGCTGAGATCTGCGGTTACTGTAGAGTCGGCTCCCATCAGGAGAAAGTGAGAGAGCCTACCTGTCCAGCAGTAAGAGGCTCTTTCACTTCACATTACTGTTAGTTTAAGGGTTAAAATCAACTTCAAACAAGTCTCCGTCGAACTCTGGAAGGCAATGTCGTTCTTCGTCACAGCAGCCGTGATTACAGCGGCCGCCGTTTCCAATATTTTTGGTCCGCAGGGGGTTGACCAATCAGGTTCATCCACTGACCTTGTGTCAACCTCGAAGAAAAACCTCCTTCAAAGAGCGTGGCAGCGGTCCAAACGAGCCCGACTGCATGTAGCTCTGCGCGTATCAAATGAATATCTGACTTAATATCCGAAAGCGGCAAATGTCTAACGGAATATCTCGGTCGGATATCTCAAAGTGAACAGAATAAAGAATTAGGGCGACACACATTGAAAACCTCTGGCATGCGGCTCGTGCATTTAGACTCCACTATAGGACACGCACTCACACACACTCACACACACCTCCGCAGCGATACAGGCCATCTTGATGTGATTAATCAGTGCGACTGGATGTGTGCGGTTGGGTTTGGAGCAGCAGAGGAAAGGTCCTTTCTGGGGGTGGACGGATCCTAATAGCCTCTGGCAGGGCGGCGATTAGAAACAGGTGCTCTGACTGAGGTCAGCTGGGGAAGCAGTTTTTTGTTTTAAATGTTTTTATTTAGTGATATAGGAGTTACAAGACAAGTGCATACAAGCAGGGGCGCCGCCAGGGATTTTGGGCCCCATGAAAAGATATCACATTGGTTACTTAAAATTGTTTGGGCCCCTGTCAGTCACGGGCCCTTAGAATCGTCCTAACTTTTCACCCCCTTACGGCGCCCCTGCATACAAGTACAGTGTCACAGATACACAGAAGACAGCAGAGATGGCAAAAGTACACACATCATTTACTCAAGTAAAACTCATGTTTAAACATACTCTGGTAAAAGTAGAAGTACTGACTAAACTTCTTTACTCAAGTAAAAGTAAAGAAGTATGGGCTTTGAAATGTACTTCAGTAAAAAGTACCCATAACTAGCAGCTGTTTTAAAGAGTACCTGACCTCCCTTTATATTAATAGAACAATAATGTCATTGTTAGCTAATGAATGTTTCCATGCTGAACAACGGCAACATGACAACGTTTTCATTGGTCCCTCTTCTTTAGAGAAGACCAGGAAATGATGGATACACGGATCGTGTTCAAATCAATAGGCCCGCAATGACTCTAAGGCCCCGTCCACACGGAGACGATATCAGTTGAATCCGCTAACGTTCTCTATCGTAGAGACGGTTCGTCCACACGCGGCCGACACGGAAACGTGGATTCGGAGCCCGAATCCGATACATGTTGATAACGGCTCCCAAAGTGGGTAGGTCTGAGGACGAAACGCTTGCGGCTCGGTGTGGCTATACGATCATTCCCTGAAAACGATGACGCCATAGCCCCGCCTCTGCCCACCTCTCCTGCTCACCCCTGCGTCACCTGTGTCATTGCTGATGCCAACAACAACAACAATGGCGGATCACAGGGTTGCGTTCGTGCTCCAGACGCTATTGACCATGATACAGATTTTAGTGCAACATCTACAGCTCCTCTACCACAACCATCAGCAACAATAATAATATAATATAATAATAATAATAATAATAATAATAATAATAATAATAATAATAATAATAATAATAATAATAATAATCGTCATCGGTCTTATTCGCTGCTTTTGGTGTATTTTGTGGCGGAAGTACAGCGCCACTTACAGGCCCGGCATATGTACTACAGCGTCTCCAGCGGGTCGAGCGGTCTCGTGTGGACGGACACGTTTCTTGAGCCGATTCCGTGTGGACGGAAGACTTTTTTGATATCGAATTCGGTTCGTTTTCGTCTCCGTTTCGTCTCTGTGTGGACGGGGCCTAAATAATGATGATCACGCCACCAAACACAGATTAAAACTAAAGAAACCAGCCTGTTTTGAAAATGTAAGAAGTAGAAAGTAAAAAGTCGTCAGAAAAATAAGTAGTGGAGTAAAGTACTGATACCAGAACAATGTACTTAAGTACAGTAACAAAGTATTTGCACTCCACTACTTCCCACCTCTGGAAGACAGTAAGGTGAATTTACAAGTAAAGACAAATTATAAAATATACATGGCGACAAAAAATAAAATAAAAACAGAGTGTGTGTGTGTGTATGTGCATGTGTGTGTGTGTGTGTGTGTGTGTGTGTGTGTGTGTGTGTGTGTGTGTGTGTGTGTGTGTGTGTGAGGGATTAGACAAAAAGAGAGTGTGGGGGGGGGGGGGGGGGGGGCATGTAAATAGTAGCAGGACCTTAAAGACCTTAGGGAAGCAGTTTTTAAATTAAGACCACTTTTGACGACACGTAGCTCTCACTGGAAAGCCTCTCGGAAACTACAGTGCTGATCCATGAAATACTTGTTTGTTTTTTAGTTTGTTAATGTGTCTGTTGCTAAGCTGGACATACTGTTGCGGTTACCTATCAATTGTGCCAGGTTTCCACCTAAAGTTCCCCGGACTTGTCAAGGAACCAAAAGGTTTCCAAGACTGTTGTCGTCTGTTTCCACCGATGCATAGACCCACACAAAATTGAAAATGGAGCATGTTGACGTAGGAAAAGTGACTGCTGTCTCACAGGACATTTTTGCACGCAACTTCCCGTCACATTGTCGAAATATTGGCAAAACATTTTCAAATAAGCCTTATTTGGATTAACTGACCTATAGTAGGAATCTATCTAAATGGTGACTTCATTTCTAAAATAATGAACATATTAAGGTTTTGTTATAGGGAGGTATGGTTTGAACATTAGTTAGACTTCTTTGGATGTCATGCTGTACATTTCTTTATTCATGCGTAGACCATATCTTAAATGTTTGGTGTTATAATTACGTTTTAAGCTTTGCCAAAGGAAATTATTATTGCTATATTATTCTTCTGCATGTTTGCTTTTAATAAAGTCAGGGGAAAAGAAAACATCGCAGCAAACTATTTGAAAATAAGTGGCCATGAAATTAATATCTGTATTAATTTGATTTTTGGACACACAGAAAATCGGATGGCAAATCTAATACCAACAAATAACAAGAGTTTTGTGATCAATACATTGAAGGAATTTCTTGCTTTCAGGGATTTTCTAAAGCAACTTTACACAGCTACATTCTGTAAATAAAAATATATATTGGATGGGTTTTTTTTTTTATGGTTATTCAAGTATGTTTCGACTTAACAAATATTTAATTGTACAACTTAGTCCACATAAAATATTACTTTTTTTGATCCAAATGTTGTTGGATGGAGAAAATGACACAAAAAATGCAAATATCCTAAATCATAACCAAGAAATTAGATTTTTCCAGTGCGGCTCTGTGCTTCTGAGTGTATTTTATTAAATCAAAGCATCTTCGCACTACTCTTTGTTTTCAAAATTAAAATCCTTCATTGCCATAACCCTCCAAACCACTGTTAGCAAATGCTATGCTAACAGTAGCCATATGTCGAAGCCATGTGCCTGAAATGTATTGGGGCCATTCATCTCTTGGATGGCCCCAAATAAGAGAGCCTGACAAGTAATTTCAATAAAGAATAAATGTTTTCTGACTGTATTGGCAATATGGACATCATATTTACTTTTCAAGTTAAAAGAAAATCAAAACCAAACTATTAAACCCTTTTAAAATGGGGGAAACGTGAAAAATAAATGTTTTAACCGTGTTTTTTTTTTTTAGATATGCTTTCACAAGTGAACTAACAATCGTTTCGTCCTTTTTCTTTACAGGTGCCCTTTCTTATCTGAGGCCTGAAATCACCTGATCCAGAGCTCCAGACTTCACACAGGGACATTTATGTGTACAGCGATGGGAATCTTTTAAAATCTGGACCAAATTTTTATTTTGCTACTATTTACCAGGACACTTTTCTTTACTAAAGGACTTTATATTTTTTAATTCTTGTTGGAGAAATGGACAAAAAAAAAAGAAGGGACCACGAGAAGGAATATCAGACCAAAAACTGTTGACTGATTTCGAACAAAAACTATTCATTGACGGCGGAGATGTCAGCGCTTAATGGGGTCGGTGATGTGGAGCTTTGACCGTCTACAGAGCCATGAAGAGGCACTTTAGTGACCAAAACAATATCCATGGACTCTGGGGTCTTTGTGAGCAAAGCAAAACCCAAATCTCTACGTCATAATCTGCCATCCTTTGAGGCGATGCTTAAAGGAACATGTTTACATATCTTAGGGCCACATGTATGAAATGCCATGTATCTCCAATTTAATCCCCAAGTTATATCTGCTCAAAGGGGAAAAGAAAAGGGCTTTGTTGATTTTTTTAAATAATGTATCTCCGCATCCCACACAAGGAGAGAAATTCCACAGACAGAGAAAAACAAACGTGAGAATCTGAGTTTTTTTTTATTGTGTCAGAGACTCTAATGTACACCACAGCTGTACTGCAGTGAAAGTTCATTCACACATTCCTCCCCCCTCTGTCTCCCCCTCTCCTCTCGCCTTTCTGTCTCACTCCTTCTGTCTCATTGATGTTTCGGACGGTGAGGCAGGGATCCCGGCCTTTTGTAGTTTTTAGAGAGGACCTCGGAGGAGGTCAAGGGGTGACTTTAGGGAAAATGACAGATGAGAGAGCAGGAGAGGAGGGCGGCGGAGAAATGGCTTTAAAGGAAGGGAAAAAGGGGGGGGGATAAGCAAGATCGATCACAGGGTTTAAAACCCTTTAAAGATCTTCTCCCGGCGAGAAAAATCCACCAGGTCACAAGTCACGACCGAAAGACACTTGAGTAACCGAGAGAGTTTAGACTAAAGACTGCCATTCTCCCAGCTGACCAGAAGTGCAATATCATGTATCTTAGAGTCCAGAACCCTAATCCTAACCCTAACTCCTCGTAAAAACAATGAGAAAAAATCAAACGTGTCTCTTAAAGTCTTACAAAACAGTTTGGATTATAACTCTGGGTCTAGTTTGGGATGAACACATGGGACTATGTCCAAAACACATGAGAAACATTGTTAAAACTGCCATTATAGCACACTAAGGACCACATTTGTCAGGACTTACATTTTGCGTATTGTAAGGAAATGCATGAATCAAGGGAAGGTCAATGAAAACAAAAAACCATCAGGAATGAAAAAGCCAAAATTGTACGACCAGGTCACAAGTCAACCGAGAGACACTTGAGAAACCAAGAGTTTAGACCATTCTCCCGACTGATCAGAAGTGCAATATCATATATCTTGTAGTCTAACGCACCATTAAACATTGAAAAAAACATCAATGTTGCCTCCGAAAGTCTCACGAAACAGTCACCAGAATCACCAGAAAAAAGCCAAAGCTGCACCACCAGGTCACAAGTCATGAGGAGAAGATGCTTGAGGAACCCAGAGAGTTTTGATTTCACTCATTCTCCCAGCTGACCAGAAGTAAAGTGTCTCTTTGAGTCAACCTCAACCTTTAAAACAATATTTAAATCAATCAATCTGACCTCTTAAAGTATTACAATACAGTTTGGAATGATTGTTTCGATGTAGTTTGGGAACAACACATGTGTCTTTGTCCAAAAACAAATCAGAAACATTGTTTATGCTCTCAAAGCACAATGAGGACCACATTTGTTAGCACTCAATTTCCGTGTATGAGGGTCAAAAGCATGAATCGAGGTAATCCCAATGTAATCAGAAAATCAAAGCCAAATAACTCACAAGTCATGACCGACAAACAATTGAGAAACTGTTAAGAGTTTTGACTAAAGAACATCATTCCCCCAACTGACCTGAAGTCAAAATATCATATCAATCGCACTTGTTAAAGTCTTACGAAACAGTTTGGATTCATTCTCTGGGTGTAGTTTGGGAACAAACACATGTGACTTTGTCCAAAAACGAATCAGAAACATTGTTAATACCGCTGTCAAGCACAGTGTGAGTATATCATGAATCAAGGGAATGTAAACAGAAGATCACCAGGAATGACGAAGCCAAAACTGTACTTAAGTTTATATTTTTGTGTTGCTTGGGACCTTTTTCTATGTTTTCATTTTGCATTTAAACAACAATTAGGGTTTGTAACGCATTCCAGACATATTTATTGTCTCAAATGTTCTGTATGTACAATTTCCCACAATGTACAAGTGAGTGGCAATACTTTTCCATCTGAATAACGGAGCGCCTTCATAAGCTTGTTTTGTTCATCTGTCTATGTTAGAATGAACCAGTCCTTTCATTCCTTTGATATATTTTTGGTATTATTTTGACAAAGCGATATGACATAATGTCATGTGTACAAGCGCATTATCACTACTATTTATAATGAAATAAAAATTCTGAAAATAGCCGCATGTGTTTTTATTCATTTCAGTTCCTCTGATGGCCATTAATAACTAAATAGAGTCTTTGTGTTTATTTTTGAGAAACACAAAGTGATTGACTCTTCAGAAGAATACACTCGGAGACAAATGTGTACTTTTCATGTGAACCCTGCAACCAAAATAGGCCAAATAGGGATCACCAGACATTGGATTGGACACTGAACACAACAGGCTTTCTCACAGACGCCCAAACATCTGCATTGGTGTGTATTAATACCCCCTCTGCACCCCCGCTACTGTAACAAACTGACTTTTGTTTAACAACCTCTCCAATGAGAACAAGCCTTAAAGCGATTTGAACAAACAGTCTCTCCAAAAAACCTCTGCAACCCATCCACCATCCACACACACAGGGCCCACTCACACTGTGTGCACATGCATTCATACATTATGTTCATGTTCACATATAGTGTTGTTTCTGTGTGTGTGTGTGTGTGTGTGTGTGTGTGTTCATGCAGCCTGAGGGGTATTAAGCCTAATTATAACATTCTTCTGATTAATCGTGTCTGCAGCGGGGACCACACACTCTATAAATAAAGTCTAAGTCAATAACAACGTGCAGGATCACTCATAGTCTTGTCAGCTCAGTTTGCCAAGCTTGAATAATTCAGCCAATGAGGAGACACCTAGACACACACACACACACACACACACACACACACACACACACACACACACACACACACACACACACACACACACACACACTCTGGAAAAGTACAAGCGCTCTAATCACCTGTGGTGTGCACAAACACTCCTGCTGATACACACTTTGGCGTGCAGATGTGAACGCTTCAACCAAACACACACACACACACACACACACACACACACACACACACACACACACACACATACACACACACACACACACACACACACACACACACACACACACACACACACACACACACACACACACACACTCACACTCACACTGTTTGCTTTCTTAATTAGTCCATACCATTAAAGATGAAGACAAATCACACCTGCAAAAAATTCCAATGCCGAGACATTATTTTTATTAATGAAGCCTCCTCGCGCTGCACTGAAAAGGCTATTATTTCTTTAATACACCCCAGAGTGTAGTTAAATGGAACTATTTTAATGGTATTTCAGATAATGAATGATTTTTGAGGGATTTTTTGGACCTACGCCTGCCTTTCTGCCTATACATACAGCTCAATTCAAATAAATCCACATTAAAATAAGCAACATTTTTCTTTCAATAATTGTCATTTGTCTCGTTTCTAAATTGAAAGAAAATCAGTAATGTTCGAAAGAAAAACACACACACATTTGCCAGGTGTGGTTGTTAGCCTTACACACATTAATTAAAGATGTTAGTTTTTTCTTCCATTTTCCATTTTAGAGCAGTACACAAAATAGTAACATCCCTAATTTTCTCTTCTGTACACTACACAGTATTTTATTCCACTGTACAAACTCATGTTTTTACATAAAGTATAAATAATGTAAAAGAAAGTTACATGCCCTATCAGAAGCCTTAAATCCAGAAGCACTTATTATTTAACATGAAGACAAATGTAATTAAATAAAAAAAGAATAACAAATATTTCATGAATTAAAACTGCTCTTTTTAGCCGAGGTAATTTAACCTAATATAGTTCATTTTTCACTTTTCCCTCCATTTTAAAGGGGTATAATAGTTTGGTTTTGGTTATCTTTCAACTTAAGGATAAATATTATGTCTATTTTCCCAATATAATCAGTACACTTATATTCCCAAATTTAAATTACTTGTCAGGCTCACTTATTTAAAGCAGATTATACAAGATATGATGGTAAGCTTCATCACCCTAATCAGGTAAACCTTCGTGGTAGCTACCTGAAAGAAAGAAAAAAAAAACACCCCAGTATCCCCGTCTGAAAAACGTTAATATTTAATATCTACTTAAAGGTCACATGACATGGCCATTTCTAATGATCATAATTCCATCGTTGAGGTATACTAGAATAGATTTACATTGTTCAATGTTCCAAAATCACATTGGTTTCTCATACAGCATCTCTGTATAGTATCTGTATTCACTCTCTGTCCTAAACGGTAATGACAAACAGATGAGAATGCTGCGTGGGGTCTGGGTGGCGTGTTGGCGGGATGTTGCGGGGCTTGCTGCTCCGCCCTTTGAGGCTCGAGGAGCGGACAGTGTGAGCTGGATTACTGGTGTTGTTTCCTGGTTGCAGCCTGAGCACACACACACACTCACGGTACGTCCACACGGCAGCGTCGCATGCTTCAACGGAGAAGCTTCCCATTCACTTTGAATGGGGTGACGTCACGCTTTGCCGAACTGCATTGTGGTTCCGTCGCTTCGCTTTGCCTCCGTTGCTCTCTTCGAAAGTTGAGAAAAGTTCAACTTTGCAAGCGTCGACGGAAGCACCAGCCAATCAAATCATATGCCAGTACAAGCTCTAGCCAATCAAACCGCATGCTTGTGTGTCTGGGGCGGGAGATTAATGTGATTGGTTGTTGGTCGCACACCAGACACGCCCACGTACGGAGCTCCGCGCAGTACCGCGGCTGAGAAAAGATAAGGCTGAGTGAGTGTGTGTGTGTGCGGAGCTCCGCAGCGTTACGTCAGTATGCCCCAGAAGAACAAAACGGAAAAATAAAACATCTCCAACGAGGCGTTCTGGGGCAGCATA